ACTGGACCCAGGACTGACCCCTCCCAATCTGACAACCTTATATGATCTGAGCCTGCCCCTGCACGGGTGCCAAGTACTCCCTTCCCCCACTGCGTTCCTGCCCAGCATGCTGGGTTTCAGGAGCCCTTGGAGGTGCTGCAAAGGAGCAGCTAAAGCGTGAGGAGCCCAAACACACCCTAGGCAGGCTTGCATCAGGGGCATTTACCAGGCAGAGATTCTAAGGGGCAGAGATAACTTTGGGGACTTAACCCCCAGAAAAAAATCTGGTTACACACTGGGAGAGATCTAAGAACCTGGGGGCTGAGTTTTGCTGCAGTAGCAGCTTTGGCTGATGAAATGAAGGCAGCTAAAGCAAGCGGAAAGATGGGACAGTGGTTTGTGCACCTTGGGAGATTGAGGTTTAAATCCCTGCTCCACCTCTTTCTTCCTCTGTGGCCTTGGTCAAGTCACTTAGCTTTTCTATGTCTCTATTTCCCATCTGTACAATAGGGACTCACAGAGCTGGGTGAGGCTTGGAAGATTTGGAGGCACTCCCATAATGTGGCGATGGGAGCCACGTGCGTACGTAAAATAGAAGGAATTCATCAGTGACCTACCAGGCCTCCTACACGAGTCACTTATTTGATGTGGTTTGGGGGGATGTTCCTTGCTGGGGCTTTTTGTTCGATTTACTGGCTGGCTGTGGGAAAAATCACTGTCTCCGTTTGGTTATTCGATGCTGCCAACTGGCTGGAATTAATTATTTGCAGACGAGGAGTAAATGCCACTGGATGGTTATCGGTGTGCTTGTACGTTTCATTATTGGCTGAGCACTCAGTGCTTGTATGTGGCTGCCTGCAACATTGTTCAATGGAAATAAATGAAATAGATTTTTTTTTAAAACTCTCCCATAGCTGTGCTTACATCTCCTTTCCTCTGCCGGGTTACAAGTAAACGGAGTAGGTTGGATCGGTAACAATCTGTGATTATGGCTCTGTGGGTATCCGTCTTTCTGCACAGCGTACAGCCACTCCCATACTATTCTTCCTGCTGGCACGGCTGCTACCATTTCAAACGCTGGCGAGGAGGAGATAATAGTTCATATTTACTGTAACGGAGTATTGCATGGAAGGGCGAAGCAGGTAAAAAAGCCCCACTGTGGTGAAAGCCAGGAGCGAGGGAAGGATGTCTTAGTGGTTAGAGCACTGACCCGAGTTCAGTTCCTGCTCTGCCACAAACATCCCGGGCATGTCTCTTTGTGCCTCAGCTCTGAAATGGGGATCACATGTCAAAGATTGGGAGGCTCTCCAATACTTACGGTAATGGGAGCTGTGTCAGAATGATAGGACATGTGGCTAAGGGCTTGTCTACATGGGCTGTGAATGTACAGTGCACTAGCCTGCCGTGCAGTGACATCACGTGCAGACAGTGACTGTGCTTTGACGTGCTGCTGTTGGAAACAGGACTATGTCAAAGCGCAATACATACTTTTAGTGCGCTGTGGCAGCACGCACGGGGAACATTACTGTACACAAGTGACTGTGCTATAGAGTCACACCCTGGCTGGCCGCATACTAATGTCCCCTATAGACAAGCCATAAGAGACCTGCAGTGTGCAGTGAAACTTTTAAAGGAAATACCTGCTCCCACAATTATGCCTGTTTAATTAATCCAAATCCCCCTTTCCTTACAATGAAAGAGCAGCATTGAGCAGCCTGCCGCTATGTAGAAAAGGTGCTAGTAAGAAATTCCCTCAAAACTGAACTGGGAGTACCTGGGACTAAGGAGTGTAAAGGCATGTAACACTGGGGCAAATGCTGCGATCCTTACTCAGCTTTTAACTCAGGCTATGTCTACACTACAGCCTATGTCGGCAAAACTTTTATCGCTCAGGGGGGTGAATATTCAACCCCCTTGAGCGACATATGTTACACTGTCATAAGTGTTCGTGTGCACAGTGCTGTCAGTGGGAGACATATGCCGCCGACATAGCTTATGCTGCTCGTAGAGGTGGGTTTTTTATGTCAACAAGCGAGATCTCTCCTGTCGGCATAGAGCGTCTTAACCAGACGCGTGCAGTGGCACAGCTGTATGGTGCAGCTACGCCATTGCAGCGCTGTCTGTAGAGACACACCCTTGTGAAATGAATGTTTGGCCAAAGTTCTGCTGATGGCTAGGAAGACCTGTGTTCTTTGGGTTAATTAATCCTTTGTATTGGCTGAACTGGGGGCTCCTCGGAGCTCTTGTAGGTCTTCGTGTTGTAGAAAAAGGTTTGCTAAAAGCACTTGTGTGTGTAAACATCTCTATCTTTTGCAAACCTTCCTGCATCAACCCCATTTCATATGATTAGTATCAGATTAATAAAAACCTACAGTTATGGCCCCAAATCCTATAGTAACATGATTGTTATGCTGAACTGTTTGAGACCAGTGTGAGTTTTGGCAATCTGTCCTCACGTCCTTCCTGAGTGTGTTACTCAGTAGGGCCATTTTGGACCTTTCGCTGCTTCTGGATGCCCAGATGACACTTTAGCGCAGATGGCTTTGTGTTTTTCCATCTGTGCTTGGCTGGAAGGTTGCGACTGCTGCTGTGGCATCTCGTTACAGTCCTCCAAGGCATTGCCTCCTCCAGATGGGACAGTGCCAATGCCTTCCACCTCTTGGAATAGTCAGCTGGGGTTGAGCATGGTGGCCCACTCAGTAAGTGGCACTTCAGACAGAGAGAAGAGTACCTAAGTGAACTCGAAACTGGTGTAGGCTCCTGGATGAGGTCTCAGGCATTGGTTCTATTCTCCCCTGTTCAGGTTCATATATGGCCCCCATCACCACAGGATCTGAGCACTTTCCAGAAGCGCATTAAGCGACGTAACTAGCAGCTGTCACATGTTTCTAGTCCATGAATCCCCAAAGAGTGTCCAGGTGACCCATAGCTGAGCTGGTTCAGCAAACAGTCCCCGGAATGGCTGTGATGCTGGAGGTAGGGTTGTTCAGAGCATGGCATGTGGCCAATCTCTGGACCCAGGTTCTCCCTGAAGGCTCATCTCCACCACAAATCTCTCTTGTGTTACGACTCAACTGGGAAGACAGAGTTAGCCAATACGATGCTGACCATGACTGCGTGGTGTCATGTTCAGCATCACCCCAGCTCACAGTGGTTAGGCCCTGCCCCCAGAAGGCATCGGGTTGATCTACACTCAGGCTAACTTTTCACCCATGCTTTTATCCAGAGCCAAAGGTTCCCAGATGCTATAAAGTTGCTCCTACTAACTCTACTATCCTGAACTCCAGGCATCCCCACACCCCTGCTCAGAATCCCAATCCGTCAGCAAACCACTTCCCCTCATAAAAGGAAGTGTTTGAGATTTACAGGAGAAGTCTCCTAAATGAATAGGTGCATAAACATTGATCCTGCTACAGACAAAAATATGCTGGAAGTTCCATGTCTTCAGCTGCTATTTATCGCCCCATATTGATATTTTATGTGGCGCTTTGCTGCGCCAGACACCCCAGCACTGGGCTCTAAAAGGCAGTGAACGAAACGTCCGTGTTTTCGCGCTGATCAGTTAATTTAGCCATCTGTCATCACCGAGCCTGGAAACGTGACACAGAATCTGGGCTGTGGTCAGCTGAGGAAAAGCAGAAGGGTGCTTCTCCTGCACCCTGCTTGTGGGTTGGGCAGTCCCTCGCCAGGGGCCCGATCCAAATCCCCTTGAAATAAGCCTTTTGCTCCCACTGACTTTCATGGGAGTTGGATTGGGGTCTAATGCCGATGGACCTACTGCGTATCATTAGCTATTTAGCTTCACTCAGCCTCTTCATCAGAGACAGAGCTGGAGTGGGAGGTTGATCAAAGGACAGAGGATTGGCCCAAAAGGCTTATTCCGACAAGCTCTTGATTGTTCCATCATTTCCCCGTTGTTTGTATTTCTCTTTTAAACTAACAAACACAGCCCTGATTGACCCGCTGTCCTATTAGCCAACCTCCCTGCTTTGGGGTTGGGGCACAACGGGTGAAATTCACCCTGTGCAAAGAGCCTGCCTTAGGACTATGCATATAAATCTATATGCATAGACTGTAAGTCCTGCTTAAACCATAGAGCAACATGACCTACCCAGGATCACACAGCCAGTCAGTCGCAAAGCCAAGAATAGAAACCAGGGGCTCTGACTCCCTGCGCTTACCATTAGACTACACTGCCTTCCTGATAAACCAGTGCTTGGGAAATCCAGATTGTGGTGAATGCTGGCAATGGGGACGGTTGGTCGGTGGGAAGGGGAGGGAAGGAGTGTTTATGCGAGGGCGAAATGGGGAAGAAATCATGCTGGAGTTCACAAGGCCTGCACTTTTGCTTTTTTGTTGTCTGTCCATATCTGACTGTCTGTCTTGTTATTTGTATTTGTAAGATCTTCGAGGCAGAGACCTCTTCCATTCCATGTGCATGCGGCAGCCAAACCTGGTTGGGGCTACCAAAAACAAAGAATCATTTCCTCAATGGGCGTGTAGGCCAGTGGGCAACACCACGCAAGAGCAACAGGAGGTGTTGCAGGAGCAACCCCAGGCCAGAGTCTGGGACAGGTCCTGGCCTCCCGGCATCATTTATAAGTTATACAGCTCGCCATAACTGATGGCCGCTAATTCCGTCTTGCTGGCCTCTATAGGGAGCGGGTTCTCTTCAGGCTATCAGCTAGCCCTGCAGCTAGGGAGGTAGTCATAGTGTGGGGCCAGGCCCATCCCCCCTTAAAGGGGTCAGTCACCCTGTGACAGGGCACCATTAAAACTGAGGGGTCTGGCGGGAGGGATCCTGGATTGTGTCATTTGATGGATTAGGTCTCAGTCTTGGCACTGGAGCCTCCTCGGAAGTGGAGCCCAGAGAAAAAAGGAGCCTGGTGCCTTTCCCCCTCATTAATCCCGACACTTCTGCTGCGCCCAGCACTGGCTGTGCAAACCAATGTACCATATTATCCCTGATTCTTTTGCAATGCTGCCGCTCACCCTCTGTGACTAATAGCAAAGGCACTTACAGCTGTCTTCTTCCTCCATAAACACTTTGCTGACATAGCAGGCATAGACGAATCCAAAGAGCTTCAAAACAAAAACACAGAGAGAAAAGCCAATTATTTGGAACTCGAGAAATGTGAAACCAGACAGATAGCCAGGGTCAGAAGGAGCAGCAGTGGACACAGGCAGCCCATCTGGAGCGAATAATCTATCAAGTCAATTTAATCCCCTTATCTTGCTCACCAGTTACCTGCAAACAGATTTAGAAGGTTACAAATTTCTTAGTAAATTTCAATTTCACAAGCTGTTCGTGTTGGGTGAAATTCAGAGGGGCCAGCACAGACCTGTCCATCCTCAACCCTGTGGGCTAATGTGTGATTAACTATTATTAACCATGTCTATTACGGCAGTGGCCCGGGACCAACTGAGAACGGTGTCCCATTGCGCTGGGTGCTGCACAAAAGTGTAAGTGGAGCATAGGCTTGGTGCTTGGGGGACCAGACAGCAAGTGTGAAAAATCGGGACAGGGGGTGAGGGGTAATAGAAGCCTATATAAGAAAAAGACCCCAAAATCAGGACTGTCCCTATAAAATCGGGACATCTGGTCACTCTACCTGGTGCAGGTTTTCTGCATGGGATGAATTTTACCCTTTGGCTCTGTTTTCAACTCTGTTCATGGCAGGTAACAGGTCACCTAAGTCACATGGTATTAGTCCTGTCCTCTGATGGGATGTCCAGAAACCAATTTAAGACAAACTGGTGCAACTTGTATGTTTAGACAAGCACTCAGCAGGTGAGTGGGAGGGGTATGTCCTAGCATCTTGGCCAAGAGGGTTCTGTGACATCAGTCCGTACTGGGGGTGACAGCATTTGGGGAGTGCTCTTTTGGGAGAGAATTATGGGGCTCTGTTGGAGCTGGAAGGGTTCTGCCCCTGCCCCCCACACTTCAAATCCCTCCAGTTTGTTCTATGAAGTTGGAACTGGGGAACAAGAGTGGAACTTTCTTTGGTTCCAATATCTGCACGTCGTGGGCTCTGTCTGCAGGAGACCCCATTGCCCGAGTCACTTACACCTGGACTGGAGAAAGCACTGGGGTCCTGGACTCAATGGAGGATGGTCTCGTCACTGACCCCCAGGGTCCTAAGAGGTGGCCTGCCGCATGGCGTGGCAAAGGCAGGAGCGGATTTCTCAAGCGGTGTTGCCGTGGGAGGCGTGTGCTGGAAAGCGAGACTGAACTCACAGGTTACTATGCAGGGAGAGATATCTCTGACCCTGCCAGGCCACACACCCTGTGGGCAGGAGAGACCAGCTGACCCGACAGGAAGCCTGTGATTAGCTCGGAGACATCAAGCTGCAAATATTGGTGGGAAGCAGGCCCTTCTCAAAGCTCATGTGCCCGGTTCCCACTCCCTCCGAGTCCTGGCCCCACCCCGAATCAAAGACTGCTGCTGCCAAGGCTGGTAGAAGCCAGCCCAGGTCAGGTCTGGCAGATGTTTGGTGCTCCCCTTGGACTGGGTCCGGCCTGTTGCCAGCTCCATCCAGCTCCCCCATTGCCAGGCCGTGTCGCGAAGCAGCACTTGATGCACTCAACTTATTTTTATTTTATTGGGCTTGTCATTCATGAGGCTGCACGAGGGAGCCCGGCTGTTATTAATGGGGACACGGGGGAGGGCTGTGTGTGCACGAGTGTGCAATAAAAGTGCACCCCTGTTTTTAAACCCTGCCTTGAAGTTCTCCTTTAAAACCTTCCCCTCCGGCATCCCCGAAAGGGGAGCGTGTCTCTCCGGCAATTATTTCTGCTTCCAGCCCAGCCAAGGACATATTCACAATTGCTTAAACTCCTGGCATCTTTCTGCCTGTTGACAACTCACTAGCAGCCTCTGGTGTAGGAAGCTGCCAGACAGGGAGATGAGAGCAGTGGCCTCAGTCCACACGGTTCTGGGAACGTGTCGCTCAGGTCTTTTGTTGGCTCTCATTGTATGATTTCTGAGCCAACATTTCGCACACACGAAACCTCACATTTCCAGGGGGGCTTTCAGGCACAGGTCTGTCTGCTCTGCTCCTCTGCTGTTCACACCTCGAGCACCACCAGCCCAGAGATGAGCTGATATGACACATTATATTATCAACATCTCCTCTGTAGCACGAGGCGCTAATGTACGCTAACACAGTGGGAAGTCGCCAGCTGGAATGTGCCAGCCTCGCTCCCCCAGATATATTAGTGCCACAGCTGCATTCCTTTCTTCCACTCATTTTACAATTCAAGCTAAAGGGAAAGGAGCGAAGTTGGTGGTTTATAATCCATGCAGCTTAATGCTCACGGCTCTGTTATCTGCTAGGGTGAAATTTACCAGATGCAGAGGACTTAAGTGCGCTTTGTGATGGTCTTCTGTATAAGGGTGAATTTCACCCTAGATCTTTAAGTGATTCCCCCACACCTCTTGTTATTATTCCATGGTTTAACTAGGGACTAGAGATACATTTACCAGATAAGAACACCCAGGATTGCTGTTTTCATATTTTTTAAAGCCACACCTCCCCATTTCACTTTGAAAATAACATGGTCCCAATAGCGTCTAAGTGGTGGCTTTGGGGAGCGGCAAGGGATTGAAATGACTTCAGCCACCGTAGGGGCCTGGCTCCCACTGATTCCAACGGGAGTGAGTCGCCTAAATACCTTTGAGGTTGGGGGCTGATGGCTCGACAGCATTTCAGCTCCTCGAGTGGTTTCTGTGGGTGCCACAGATGAGAGGGCATCATACAATAACACATGCCCCTGAATGGTACATCGCAGCTGAGTGGAAATGGAGGATTTTTACTTTTTTTAAAAAATGTGAAAACTTTTTTTAAATGCATAGCGCTTTGCCCAGTTTTACTGGACATCCATTAAGAGCACGACCCCCTCTGGGGGCCATTCTGGTGTGTCGAACTTCACCCTGTGGGTTTATGTTGAATGGAATCACAGCTGCATTATGCACAGTTAAAGGGGCTCGTTAATAGAGACAGGCCCAGGATCCCAAATCTGGAGGGAAAAGTCTTCTTTGTCTTTTGGGGAAGTTCTGATCCAGATTCAGTTCTGGGCTTGGCTTTAGCACGGGCCAGAACTAGAACATATTGAATCCAAATGCTCCAGAACTTTGGGGAAAATTTGGATTCAGACCCAAATCCCACGTCTCAGCCTCCCAGTCCTCCACCTTCATAAATAATGCTAACTTTGTATTTCTGTAGGGGTCCCTCACCCCTGAAATGCAGCTGACCCTGGGCTGCAGTGTTACAGCCATTCAGTGCTAGCGATGGTACACGATAATTTCTAGGGAAGTCAGTAACAGGTGACTGGCCAGGATACGTTCTCAGTGAGCTGGCTGGCTCTCCATTGCCCTGCGCTGTGTGTAGCCATCTAGGACCACAGGAATCTACCCCATGGCACAGTGTGCAGCTCACCACTTTTCACCCACTTTGCACTAGTGAACAAGTGCAAGGTAATGGAGTGTCAGGCCCACTAAGGGCATGGCTACACTGCAATCACAGGTGTGACTGTGATTTGATCAACTAGCTTGAGTAACAACAGCAGTGAAGCCTTGGGGGCCCAGGATAGCCCCCACCCTGGGCCCACCCACCCTACCCAGGACCCCGGGTAGCTACTCAAGCAGCGGTCGCCCGTGCTGCTGTGGCTTCACTGCTGTTGTTACTGGAGCTGACTAGATCAAAGCCATCTTGGGTATGGCTACACATGCTGCAATCACACCAAGACAAACCCTTACTCTGGTGGTGTTACATTGGGTTTACACCCAGTGGGCTTGATTCTCTTCTCACTTGAAACCAGGAGTAACTCCCATGGAGTCAAAGCTTGTGCAACAGACCCAGGATCTTTGCTATTCCTCATTCTAGTGCCCTCAGGAATCACACGGGAGGGACACGCGATCCGAGGCGAAGCCTGGCTCCCCTTACCGCAAGGAATATCTGCATGGCGCTGCTCACTACCTCGATGTACTGGTAATCGAGCAGGCATCCGGTGACCGTGATGACGTGATGGTCCTCGGGGGCCAGGTTTGAGTTCATCACCGGCGTCACCAGGCAGCCGGGCCCATTCTCCATCCACCACGAGCGGTGCAGCGAGGTATTAAAGGTCATGATGAAGTCCCGGTCCTATGGGAGAGGCACATGGGAACACAAGCACAGAGTGAGGCCCCCCTTTCTGTAGGAACCATTCCCCAGCAGAGGGCACTCCTGATTCCTGGGGTATGAGCGTGTTGGTTGTCAACATTTAGAGCCTCTATTCAGGGTGGCCATTAGGAGGCACCCAGCAAGGAAGTAAGCAGAAAATAAAGACAGTCTTGCATTCACCCTGATCGAACCCACGTCCATATGGAGACAATGACACGCCAAAACAAACCATCAAAGGCCTGATTTTCAGAAGTGTGGAGTCCTCCCAACTCTCGGTGAAGTCAGTGGGAGCTGCAGGTCCACTCCCCAAAGCAACACCAAGAGCAACAAGGCTTCACAGGGGAAGGGGCCCGTAACCCACTCAGTGTAGTGCTCTGTCCCCTCATGCAGGGGCTGGGTCACAGACGGGCTGACCTGGGCCTGGGCCTTTTAGTGCATTCAGGTCCAGCAAGCCCATGTTCTAACCCCACTGGTGCCACACCCTGCCCCACGGGACGTAGCATTACATTACTGTCCACACATACTTCTGCACCGAACGATGAATCGTATTCGTATAGCGCATCGTTACTACATCTCTCCCTGCATCCCCAATCTGTTTTATTAATCATTAGCAGCGCCCCGGCCCTTCTCTAGCAGCTTCTGTTCACAGATCTCATTTTAGAGCAGTTCAGGAGTTTAGCCTTATAATCCCCGTCAAATGGGAAACCTGGCCACGTTCTGCTCGGCCACGTTCTGCTCTCCGTCTCATCAGTGTGAATCTAGAGTTACTTCCCTGGAGTGACTCCACATTCACACTCGTTACTATGCACAGTTGGTCCAGAGAGGTTCGCTGACTTGCCCAGGGCCACACCGGGAATCCAGGGCACAGCAGGGAGGAGAGCCAGGGACTCCAGCTGGTGAGAATCAGAGGAGCTCCACTGACTTCCATGGGGCTCTGTCGATTTACACCAGCTGAGGACTGAGCCCCACGTCTCCAGCCTGCCAGCCCCGTGCTCCCATTTCCTCCCAAAGGGCTACAGCAGCACAGGAGAGGGGCGGCCACATGCTGTACAATCACGGCACATGCAAGCGCCTGTGAGCTGAGGACACTGCGGCATCTTTGAGAGCCCAGCCTGGTTTCGCAAGCCCCAGGATTAGTTCCTTTGCGCAAGCAACACCTGTACCTCCAGCTGGGCAAAGGGACCTTTGCAGGTTCTCTCAGCACTGGCTGCACCATGCGATAGCCAGAGCACATGTAACGCCCACAGACCCTGGTCATCGACAGGCAGGATCAAACCGGGGATCGCTGGAGCTTAGTGCATGAGCCTCTACCACACGAGCTAAAAGCCCCCTGGCTAAGAGCAGACTCATTTAATTCTCTCTAAGGCAGGGGTGGCCAACCTGAGCCTGAGAAGGAGCCAGAATTTACCAATGTACATTGCCAAAGCAAAGAGCCACAGTAATACGTCAGCAGCCCCCCACCCCCAGCACCTCCTGCCAACCAGCAGCCCTGCCGGTCAGCGCCTCCCCCTCCCTCCTGTGCCTCCTGCCCGCTGCGATCAGCTGTTTCGAAGTGTACAGGAGGCTCTGGGGTGGAGCGGGGAGGAGCAAGGGTGCAGCAGGCTCAGGGGAGGGGGCGGGAAGGGGCAGGGGCCTGGGGGTAAGGGGTGGAGTGGGGGCGAGGCCTGGGGTTGAGCAGTGGAAAGTTGGCACCTGTAGCTCCAGTCCCGGAGTCGCATATTAATTTCTGAAGAGCCGCATGCGGCTCCGGAACCCCAGGTTGCCCCCCCCCCCCCACCGGCTCTAAGTCATCTCGGTGCCACCAGAGACAGAACACGGCACCCAGCAGGTGTGTGGGTTACGCTCAGCACCTGGAGAACCAGCACCATAACACTCCAGCAAAGCCCCTGGCCAGGTCCATCTCTCGGTTCTGAGATGCAGATGGATTCTCCTTCTCGCCAGCCTGGTTTGATTGCACTGGGCAGCACTGCCAGCGAGATGGACACACAGACCCCCCCCACGAAGGCTTTGCTCCTGGATAGCTCCGCCTGGGCGCCTGGTAAGCCCGTTAACATGCTTTGGGGCTCTCCATGCTTGATCTCCCTGAGCTTTTAGATCTCTGCTTCATACCCAGCAGGCCTGCCCCTGCGCGACACGGCTTTGGGCTGTCACCAGGGGAAGGATAAGATGCTGCTTCTCTAATCCTCCCAGCCCAGCGCCTGCACCCGCCTGATAGCAGACTCGCAAGATGCAAAGCTGAACTTCAATAGGGCCGGCAATACGTGGGCTGGGGCTCCCTTCCAGGAGTGACCAGATGAACGCACGGCACGATCAACGCAGCTGCCCCCGCTCACAGAGCAGAAGAACAGATTGGACTTAAAGACTTAGCTCTCCTGCAGACGTGCTTTCTTTGGGTGCAGCCATGGGGACCGCTCGCATCTGACAGCGTTGCTGTGGAGGGTTCCCCGAAGAGAAGAGAACTGAGAGTACGGGGTGGGGGAGGGGGCGGGCACAGGTTCAGGAGCAGAGAGCCACTTCAGTATAGTGCATGTGTCCCAGCTCTGCTTTGTGTCTGATATTAAACCACAGCAGCCTCCCTAAGCACTGCCAGGAGCACCAAACGTGCAGCTCCGAGCCCCGAGTTCAGGATCCGGGCCCAGGGGAGTTTGGCAATGAGCAGCCCCTTGGTGCGTTGACAAAACAGTGACTTTTTTTGAGACAAAAATCAGGGTTTTTTTGTCAAAAAGGATTGTTTTGTGAAGAAAATTGTTTTTGACCAAAAAATGGGTATTTATTTAAAAAACGGTATTTCCCCCCCAGTTTTCGGCAACCAGAAACATGTTTGATTTAAAGCCAAACGTTTGGGTTTTGGGTTGTCAGAAGCCACACACAAAAAAACCCCCGTCAGTGTTTTGGTTTCGAGGTTTTTCAGTGAAAAGCAGATTTTTTTCTTTTCTCATTTTCACTGAAGATTTTCATGGGGGAAACTAAATAATTTCCCAAGCAGCAACACGTGGGAGATTAATAGACAGGGACACCTGAAGACAGAACACTCAACTGGGCACAGGAGATCCAGGGTCTATTCCTCGCTCTGCTGCTGGGCGACCTTGAGCGAGGCACTTCACCATTCCATGCCTCAGTTTCCCCATCTGTACAATAGGGAAATGATACTGACCTCCTTAGTAAAACACTGTGGGATCTATTGATGAAAAGCACTAGATAAGAGCCAGGGGGTTCTTTTTATTATTTAATAATAATAACAATGCCGTTTGGGGGACATAAAAGAGGGCCCAAAGGGCCCCTCGTGTTTCTGCAGATGCAGCTGACATGCCCACAATAGGCTGCATGTGTCAGATCCGCAGCCTGTATGTGTGGGTCTCAGTCCAGCTCCATATGGCAAAAGCCACCCAATGTTTGGGATGTTTAGGAAAGCGTGGGGAGCTTGGTTTCCATGTCTGGTGGGCTTCTGCGCAGCCTGCCCCATCCCCGGCTGAACCTGGAAGAGCTGAACTACGCCCAGAACGAGACAGAGGCAAGACAGCGAGAGAGCCTGCCACAGCCCAAGCACACGTGGGAATAGCAGAAATCTCAGGGACGTGACACCTCTTTAGCAAAGAGGATTAATAACCCAGATTTGCAGACTCAGAGTTTCAAACAAGCATCCAGTCTCCACGTCCCAGTGCAACCCTACAATAACAAACCAGCAGGTGCACTTCCGAAGGCTCCTTGGCCACTGTAGCCTGCTCCCAAGTCTGCACCGCCCCGTGCTCGTGGGAAGCCCTACGGTAACGAAACAGCGAGTTGTGGTCTGAGGGAGAGAAAAAAATCCCACAAAGAGAAATTTCGCCTTCCAACATCTAAGGTGGATTCATGAAAAACCTGGATTTTAAAAACTTCAAAATATTATCTTGGCAGCATCTTCTAGCGATTGCCAAAAGCGAGGAATGCCCACTCCAGGCATCCTGCAGCGACACGTGGGGGGTGGTGTGGAGCAGCCGCTGGTCTCTAGACACCCATTGCTTATCAGTGTCCTATTTCTCTGCATTCCAGCTCTTTGACAGCGTAAGATTCCCCTGCTTCTTCTGAACACCAGTTTACAGCACTCCCTGCTGCTGTTAATTTTAACAACACAAACTTTTATTAATAATTTAATGTTAACATAACGTTTTTGCTGAGATTTATTGCTCCAACTGCGGGGAGCTTTCATGCAAACAGCAGCAGTGCCACATCTTTGCACAATATGCGCTTTTGCTTCGCTCCTTTTCCTCTTTGTGAGATCCCAGAGCCTGTTTCTCCATTGCCTTGCGCCTTGTGCAGTCATTTAAAGCAGAGCGTTTGTTACCATTGTGATCTGGTCGTTCGCCCTCTTGGCACTGATTGATGTACCGAACGACACTAGGTACAAAGCACAAGAGAATCAGGCCCCTGGAGCCTGAGGTCCAGACTCGTCCCAATCTCCCTCACCCCAATACAACCTCCTCGCACTGTTGCAGGATATTTTTTAAAGCTGGAGTACACCTCCTAAACAGCCTTAGGGGCCACACATGCCGGCCTCTTCTGGGAGCACCGTGGAGCCAGGGCAGGCAGGGAACTACGTGAGGTAAGCGCCGCCTGGCCGGAGCCTGCACTCCAAACCCCCTGCCCCAGGTCAGAACCCCCTCCAGCACCCCAACCCCCTGCCCCAGCCTGGAGCCCCCTCCTACACCCCAAATACATCCCCGGCCTCACCCCACAGCCCACAACCCCAGACAGCCTACACCCCCTCCCACAACTCAACCCCCTGCCCCAGCCCTGAGCCCGCTCCCGTGCTCCAAACCCCTGCCCCAGCTCAGAGCCCCCTCCCACACCCTGGACCCCTCATTTCTGGCCTCAGCCTGGAGCCTGCACCCTCAGCTGGAGCCCTCCCCCCCTCCCCAACCCAACCCCCTGCCCCAGCCCAGTGAGAGTGAGTGAGGGTGGGGGAGAGCGAGTGATGGAGGGAGGGGGATGGGGCCTCAGAGAAG